TCTTTGCGCAACCTTGGAGCAATGCAGAAAATTGAAAAGTTGCCGCAATATCACTCGATGCAGTTCGTTTTGTTGGCTCTGTTACGGTTTCTTGTTGCTGATGTTTGCAGCGTACTTTGTGCAACACAACGCCCACAACACTTTCTCGCATAGTTGGTCGAACGATTCCACGGCAGGTGGAAAAGGCAGGAGGCAGCGGAGAAACAGCGAAATGGCACAGCGGCGAAAAATAAATGTTTCTGTCCAGCATTAATTTTGCAATTTCCCACATAATTATCAAGCGCCGTTGCCAAGCTGGAGGGGGCCGGAGCCGGAGGGCGGCAGTGAAAGGGAGAGCCGAACGAAAGCAAGGTCTCCATTGGAGCTTTTTGTATAGTTTGTGGAGCGGGGGGGATGCGGGCATAGGCAGATCCAGAAAAATGCAAATATGATAATAATAATGTAAAAAAGCACAAAGGCATGCCAGCACGTCAAGTGAAAATCAAGCAAGCCGTCCACAGCGCAAGAGCCGGAGAAACGCTCACAGACACACGTAGCAGCCTCCGAGCCATAAAGCTGGCTGGTCTTCTAACAGCCGGCCAGAGAACTGACTGCCGTTTGAAGGAAATTACAGCCGCAGAGCAAAGAAACCCAACAGTTAAAGATACCTGATCAAAACCAGTAGACGCCGGAAACAGGTGTCGCCCAGAAGGCCCTACCATGCAGCAAAGCTTAAGACCGGGCAAGTTACTCTGCCACTCTCCGGATGTTACGGAAATAAGGTGTTGGGCATTTCACGCCCACAGAACCATCTTAAGCGGATAAATGGTATTAGAAGGGTTCCAGATACTAGAAACTGGTAGCTACTTAGGTATATGTAGGCATCTTGAATTCTTGAATGATATTTCCACGAAATGGCACATTTGGTCTCCAGTCCTACTGATGTCATTGGGGGTGACCTCATTTAAATAATCCTCAAAAGAGGCTTACGGCTGGGCTCCATTGTATCCCCTACTCGGTAAGCCGGACAGAGGCGGACCAGGTGAGGCTGGTAAGCTCGACTGGCACCCCTGAATGACGATGGAGTTTTAATCCCAAACTTTCAACGAGCGGCACGTCTCAACTAGCCTAGGTAAACGACCCTTGGGTGCAGCCCACCCGCCGCCCGTTCTCACCCGGCGGGTTCCCACAGACAAAAGCTAACGGTAACCAGCAGAGAAACCAGCAACGGAGAACCATCAGCGATTTTGCGACTTCGCCAAAGTTCGTGAGAAGTCCGAGGCACAAACTGTAGCAGAACTGATTACGGCCAAAGTAATTTATGGCCAGCCGGCCCGAGGAGCATTCTTAGCGACTGTGGCACCCACAGGTTGATTGATTGGGCTCCTCATTGAATGCGATTCTGCCCAGACAGTCTTTTGGTGTTGAGTGTCAAGCTCAAGCGGGGGAGCGCGAAACAAATTCCAATTCCAGATACCCAGCAATGACGTCAGGACCCAGAGCATGAGACCAGAAAGCCTCCAGTCAAAGGTGGTCGGTTGGGTTTTGGGTTTCGGGCGACGCTATTGTTTCGGTTGGAATCATTTTAGACACTTTTTGAAAACAAATGAGAGCCCCGGCGAACCGGCATTCTGAAGAAAACCTGTTTTTTAGATGCTTCTATTGAGAAGTGCTCGAAAGGGGTTGCGAATCGGGTCTCGAGCCTGGGGGGAGTCAGCCAAGGGTACGCTGGACAACTTCAAGCAGCTTCGGACGGGCCGTTAAGCCGTGTATATGGATGTTTAGATTTGTTTTTAATCACTAACAGGTATCACCGCACAGGTAGCACTCTCCGAACCGTTTTCATGACCAATTTCGGTAATTATTTTCCCCGTCGATCTAATCAAGATCACGAACAACACGCAGAAGGCCGAAACACGACAACTGATACGGCCCGGGCGAGAACGAAGAGCAAGCGAACGAATGTCTTTGAAAACCCGCCACAAACTGAAAAGCTAAATGCAGGCGAGCACAAGATACAAGATACATGTATCTACAACCTCGCGCACTCACACCACTGCAGTTTCTCTCTTCGAAGAGCAGGGGCTCAGCAAGCAGCTGGTTGGCTGTAGCCGCTGAAAAGCCGGTTCGCGGCTTAAACCTCTGGCCGTTCTACTTGGCGGGTTTCAAGTTTGGCCTGAGATACCTGAGCTACCAAGCTCAGTCTCGTGGCAGAGGGAGCTTCGCTTATGTTGCTCTTAGGTTGCTGGCCTATATGCTCCAGCAACATGCACTGCTTTGCGTACTGCTTGCGATCTGTGGTCATCATTTCGATGCATACTTTTGGGCTCTTTCAAATTGTGGGTCTTCATATGGGAGGTACCTTTTCAGGCTGATGACATAAATAAATTATGCGATCCAGATAATCAAGCTTTATAAAAAGTATATAATTAAAACTTTACAAAGGTGAAAAATATACAAAGGATTTTTAAACAAGGTTGCGCAAAAGTGATCCTCATATCAGAACATGCTATTAAATTCGCGATTGGCCTCTAAGTCAGTTCTGTTGTGACATTTGGGTGCTAAACACATGCGAAATACACTTAAATAATAATAAAAATGGTGCACCGGCTCACAATGCAATTGCCACAAGCGATATGCTGAAGGATGCATTTCCCGAGTGCCTAAAATCCCGTTTTAACGAGCTACACTGGCCAGCAAGATCGCCTATTTCGACAGCTCCACACTTCTTTTTGTGGGGCTTTTTGAAGTCGCGGGCTTATGTCAACAAGCCTCAGACTCTTGCATCTTTTAAAGACAATATCCGTCAAGTATGTCAGGACCTAAGTCTGGAGGTTCTGGCCAAATTAATGGAAAATGTCAAAAAAAAGGGCCCAAATATGTACTATCAACTGTGCGGCGGCCATTTACATGACAGGATATTCTCGTCCTCAAAAATAATAAATTAAAAAAAATTTTTTTAAACAGTCAAAAAACGTTTTTTTTGCGCCACCTTGTAATAATAAGGAAATAGTAAACTTTACTAATTTGTTATACACAAATCAGCTAAATCTGGTAAGTAAAAGTGCTGATAGTATTTACAAATTTATTGCTTATAATCTAAACAAGTCGAAAAAAATAATACTTTTTAAAAGTTCAAGCCATGATATATGGGCAATTCCATAGAAAGGTCAACCGTGACCGAAAAATTAAATGATAATAAATCCATATTGTATAAACTTCTTTAAACTAAGAAATAGTTAAATTTTTATATATTAAACAGTTTCAGACTCCAATATATTCTAATGGCAAAATACGTGGGCCTAAAGTTCAACATGTACATTTTTTCATTTCGCTACATTTTTGATGGCTTTCCTTTTTAATTCATTATTCTAAATAGAGATCAACTATGCTTATACCAATGCGTTTTTATCTATCTCAGAGAAATAGAGAAGAAAAAAAAATACACGGGAAGATAAGGAATGCATAATCTTAGCTTACGTCTTAATTTATATTTCGCTAATTTCAATGTCGCGTGCGTTCCGTATTTGGAGCATTTGTTATCATTACATCGGTGTCGATCATTAAAAGTGGTTGAAAATTGATTTCTAAACAGAGTTCATAGCCTAAAAACTAAAAAATATTTTTCCATATTTTTACGGTAAGAACTTGTTAAAGTTTTTAATACATTAAGTGTGTCGCGTGCGTTCCCAATGTAAGTAAAAAATTATAATTTTTTTCTACATTGATGAGCTGTGTATATAAAATTATTCATAAAATTTATAGATGACTCCAGGTGCTGTTTTAGGTAGGTGCTGTTTTAAAAAGGAAAGTTTGGCAAGTTGTAAAAGCCAAACATTTAGTACTAAAAGACGCTTATGCATTTTATGAATGCGCAAAACAGCATATAAATAGTGTTGAACTACTATATATTTCTACAAAGGATGTTGACGAGTATACACCAATCTTAAATAAAAAATGGAGGAAAGTCCCGAGTATTTATGGACTTCATAAATTGCATCACTTATCATGTGATCGAAATTTATTAACAAAAGCAGCACAGACTGCATTTTCTGCTAAAAAGCGTGCTTTTTAAAGTCGCCTGATATTAATTTTTTTTGGTCAAAAACTAAAAAATTTAATCAAAAACTATTGAAATTACTTAATTCTTTTCTTTTTACATTTAATAAAACTGATTTCTTTTCATAGGACTTGTTTTTTATGTGATATGGTACTAGGGAAATTTTTGTCGCGTGCGTTCTGTCGTGTAACGTTCCAAACTTTAATATTTTAAAAATAAACTACCTAATATTTTTTAATGAGTCATATATCGAAAGAAAGGTACATATGTCCCCTTAATTTTTTAAAAGACCGCATTAAAAAATATCAAGCCAATTCGCTGAATTCTAAGCTTGAGTGGACTTAAAAAAAAGCCACTTCCGTTTTTTGTCGCGTGCGTTCCACACAAAGTTTGCTCATATCTTAGAAACCTTTCATCGCCAGCCCTCAAATTTTTTACCAAAAATAGTTCAGTATTAAGGCTCTTAAACACTGAAAACATTGGGTGAAAAAAACCAATACTTTTTTTTTATTGCACTTTAAACGCGTACGATTGTCGCGTGCGTGTCTATGGAATTGCCCATATTCGTAATAAACCATGCATAACCACCGACCATAACATTTTTTTAAATTCCTTATATTGTGATCCAAACAATAAATAGTAACGAATAAGTTCCCCTTGAGAACAATTTTTCAGAAACATGTTAATTTAATTTTTGTTTCTCCCATTAGTTATGCCATTTTTCTTACAAAATAATTATATTCTGGCTGTATCGAACTTCATGGCCTTGTACTCATAGATAAAAAAGAACACCTGACATATAAAAATTTATAAATTTTTATAATTTGGATAAATTTAAATAAATTTACCCCAAATTGGATATCCACTAGTTTCCATGTAAACTTATAAATGGCATCACCATTTCTTTTCTCATAAGAGACTATTATTTTCCCTACAAGCTATTCAAAATTTGTGTACTTACGCAATGGAATTTTAGCCAATAGTTTTGGGGATCCGCTTCCAGAGGCATTGGTGGCAGGCACGCTGCCGTTTCCGTTGCTCATCAAACTCAGGTCACTGTGCGAGCTCTTGTGGCTGTCCTTGCTGTACGAACGGCCACTGTGGGTAAAAAACGAAATAGAAATCAGTTGCCTGGCTTAATTATCGATTTTAGTCGGTCTTAAAGGTAGTTATTTAACCAGGCATTCCCCAATCAGTCTCGACTTGCGTCGTAGCATTAAATTAATTCAGTGAAATTATGGCCATAAAGTGTGATTTCCTGCTGCTCGACCAACAATCCGAAAACTTCGGCTCTCGACGGCACTTGAAAATCCACAAAGCTGTGAAATTATTGCAAACATTCTTCAAGCGTCGCTGAGCAATTTCAGAAAAGAAATCCAAACAAAGATGTTTCCAAGAGAAAATTGGAAAATCAATTGGTTAAATTTATAAACCTCCTCCCTTCCTGTAAGTGGGCGAAACCGCCTCTCCTCCTCTTTTTCTCCAGCTGCCCCTCAGCCCGCGACTTCCGCCGGCAGGGCACTAATTGAAAACTTTTCAAAAATGAAAAATTTCCAGCAGGAAGCCACGAAAAGGCGAAATGGACAAAGGAATTAGCATTGCCAACTGGGCTTCCGTTGCCAGCAAAATAACTCTAGTTTCTCGCCCAGCCGGCAGGGGCAGCAAAAAGCGGTTCGCGGTGGTTGGGCAAAGACATTTTTCATTTTTGTTTACTTGTCTTCTGTCGACAGACCGCGTCGCAGTTGGAAAAGCGCTGATTCCACTCGGTGTTGCAATTAAATGCAATTATAAACAGTTGTTAATGCGTGCACACGCCGAGCGATTGTCGTTGAGTCTTTATGGATTGCGAAATATGTCAGGCCAGACCTGGTAACAAGCCGGTCTGCCAATGGAGGTGGCAGTCTAAGCCACTGTTCCCTGCCTCTAAGTTCAATTTGTGAAACTTCCTCATTTCCCTAAAGCTATGAGCCTTTGTCGCATCGATGTTTGCGGGCCAGCCCGGCTACCGTTGGCAACACATTATTTTCACTGCCAAGGCTTTCTGTGTCACACGAGTTGGCCTTTTAAGGCGCCGCGTGTTCATCGTTGGAAAAACCGTCGAGTTTCGCAAGAAAACGAACATTTCCGCGAAACAACTCGTTCATCAATGCAGGTAACAAGAGCCGGTAATAAATGCAGAGTTTTGGGCCATTATTCAAGCCTAGTTTCGGAGGCAACAGTCCGGCGGGGGAGAGGCCTGCGACTGACCGGCAAATATATTTAATTATGCAAATCGCGAAACGAGCCCATCGACACGCTGCCAAGCTCACTGAGGCGTCAAACACGGCGGAAATCGAGCGGGAGAATCGATTGAAAGGAAAGAGTCGGCTATAAAGGCCAGTCGGATCATACTCGCTTTAAACTCCAACTGTAGAGTTTAAATAGCACCCGAAGCGGTGTCTGTGCCTTGCTGCCGCGGCGATGTTATAAATATTTATTATATCATCTTCATTCCGACTCCGACCACAAAGGACAATGTACTGGGGACTGGGCAGCTGAGAAGGCGTTGCAATCGCTATTTAAATGCATTATTAATGAAATGCAAATGTCGAGGCTGTCACGAGAACGGCTACTATCGGGGCAGACAAAGCCGGCACTTGAAAAAAAAACAATAGCCACAATGACAAATCAGCAAACAGTTTCGGAAGCAAAGTAGGCAGCTGCCAGAAAATATTCGACTCCAGCGGGTACTCCTCTCCACACAAATGGGCCAACCCACGAGGCAAGTGGAAAGTCGTCTAGTGGTCAGCGGGAGGATAACTCCCCCACTCCACCCTCGGTCTGCGCCTGATGTCACCGCTTCGGACTCGGGTTCTGGCGATGCACTTACCCTTGCACCGACTTGGTCACCACCCGATAGTTAACAGGCTGGACGGGTCGCCGTATCTTCGTGGGAACCGTGGACCCGCCTCCGGCCATCAATGTCACGAGGGCTAACATCTTCGCGTTTCTACAGAGTCTTCTACGATTAAGTGTTTCGCGTTAGTATGTATGTGGTGTAGGCGTTTTTCCAGGTGTAGTATCTTTTATCAATATTTTAATCGCTTAAGCAGTCACAGTACACAAATATACAAAGTGTTCAGTTCTCTTTTCTGACTTGAGTAGCAGTGCTAACTTTCGATTGGTAGTGGGTCCTATTTCAAGAGTATTTCTTGCCCAATTGGCGAATATTCTCGGTGGGAGTAGTCCTGCTGAAACCCATCAAGGAAATAAATCGCCATTTCTTTCATTTTCATTGGAATTTATTCCGTTTTTTAGGAAAACGTTGCCATTATTGCTTTCGGTCTTCTTTGGGAAACTTGTCACCCTGAGTTTAGAAACCTGACAATTACTTCCAGTCGACTGTGACTGTCTGTTGTTTTAATTGCTGCATGTCCATCGTTTGTGGCATTTGGGCACTGTCCAATTGATCTTTGCCCTTTGGCCGAGGAAACTGGCGAAGCAATTAGGCGACTTCCTCGCTTTGGCCAACTCCGAGTTGCAGCTTCTCAAATAATTCGCCATCCCTTGCCGAGCTCGCCCCTGCCATTATGTATTATGCAACTGTGGAAGCCACCCTCTGCAGAAACAATTCCATCTCTTAATGAGCTTCCATTAAACTTAATTTCAGTTGGAGCTCTGTTTGCTGTCGGATCTCTGTGTGCGAGCCAAATAAATATGCGAATGTATACAGACGAAACACTCATTCTAGCTGAGCCTGCATTATGACTTGTCGCGGGAAGTGAAATCCAAACATCGATAGACATTGTGTGCTCTACCCCATCATTCTAGCTCTGCTGATTTTCCATTTAATTGAAATATGCTACCGAGTACTGCAAAGACTGCAAGGGGTAGCAGGAACCTCAGACCCATGATAACTCTTCTATAGAAATAAAGTACAATTCTCAATCACAACGGGTATCTCCAAGTCTTCATTTCCATTCCGAAGCTCGTACGCAAGTGGAATTGCAATTTCTGAGTGGCTTTGAAGTGTACCCATCTGGGAGTAGCATATACTATTTCTTTGCATACTTTCACTTGGTCATAGCCAATTGGATTTAATGGCCCGCGGGCCTACTGCCACTGATTGCACTTCGCGTGCCCTCTTAACCTCGAAAGAATGTACCGCGATTGCGGATTAATTAAATTGCTCACTTCCTTCAAAGCGAGGAGGCTACCAGCACAATGGGTTGATTATGCGAGTTCTGGCGAATAATACAGTTTTCATCTACTTTTCGTGGGGCTTGCGAAAATTCAAATTAGTCAATTCTATTGTTCTAGAAAAGCAAAAACTAGGTGACTCTTTGTGCGAAGCTATGCGGAAACCCTCTATTATCCCCCCGAGTAGAGCAACGAAGACGAAGCTTTTGGAGCTCCAGGTGTATGGTACTCTCGTTCGATTTAACTTTATTTAAGGAATGAAATGATCTCTTTGGTGACAGCATAACCAGTAGAACCACTTCAACTGCGGTCGAGTGCTGGAGCACAATGGGGCTTCGATCAATAGAAGACCAATCCAGACAAGCTGCTTTTGTTCAAAGCACGAGCTTCCAGGGAACATTAGCAGCTTCTGATTTACGGAGCAAGTAAGTCATTGCCGTCTAATAGAGACAATAGCGAGACTCCGCTGAAGTTCTGCCTCTCGACGACAGTAATGACACCCTTCCACATCTCTTTTGGAGCCGAGCTGCGGATAAGTGGGTTTAAACAAGTTCAAGTTGCTGGAGAGCTTCGAATTATTGAAGACTTCAATTAATATCTGAAACCAACACTGTTCATTTTTATACCCTTGCAGAGGGTATTATAATTTTGGTCAAAAGTGTGCAACGCAGTGAAGGAGACATCTCCGACCCTATAAAGTATATATATTCTTGATCAGGATCACCTCCTGAGTTGATATGAGCATGTCCGTCTGTCCGTCTGTCCGTCTGTCTGTCTGTTTCTACGCGAACTAGTCTCTCAGTTTTAAAGCTATCGTCTTGAAACTTTGCACACACCCTTCTTTCCTTTGCACGCAGTATATAAGTCGGAACGGTCCGGATCGGCCGACTATATCCTATAGCTGCCATATAACTGATTGATCGGAAATGGTATAACTTTGGTGTTTTTAGAGTTAGAGAGTTCAAATTTGACATGAGAGCTATTTTTGGCAAAACATTACGTCATGCCAAATTTCATAAGGATCGGCCGACTATATCCTATAGCTGCCATGTAACTGAACGATCGGAAATGACCCAACTTTCGTGTTTTTGAAGATAGAAAGCTGGAATTTAATACATATTCTATTTTTAGTCAGTTGATCCAACCTATCAAATGTCATTAGGATCGGCCGACTATATCCTATAGCTGCCATACAACTGAACGATCGGAAATGGTATTTGGTAGAAATATCAACTTTCGTATTTTTGAAGATAGAAGTTTGGGACTTTTTTATACCCTTGCAGAGGGTATTATAATTTTGGTCAAAAGTGTGCAACGCAGTGAAGGAGACATCTCCGACCCTATAAAGTATATATATTCTTGATCAGGATCACCTCCTGAGTAGATATAAGCATGTCCGTCTGTCCGTCTGTCCGTCTGTCTGTCCGTCTGTCTGTTTCTACGCAAACTAGTCTCTCAGTTTTAAAGCTATCGTCTTGAAACTTTGCACACACCCTTCTTTCCTTTGCACGCAGTATATAAGTCGGAACGGCCCGGATCGGCCGACTATATCCTATAGCTGCCATATAACTGATTGATCGGAAATGGTATAACTTTGGTGTTTTTAAAGTTAGAGAGTTCAAATTTTAGGTGAGAGCTATTTTTGGCAAAATAATACGACATGCTAAATTTCGTAAGGATCGGCCGACTATATCCTATAGCTGCCATACAACTGAACGATCGGAAATGACCCAACTTTAACCCAACTCGTGTTTTTGAAGATAGAAAGCTGGAACTTGGTACAGATTATATATTTGGTCAGTTGATCCAACCTATCAAATTTCATTAGGATCGGCCGACTATATCCTATAGCTGCCATATAACTGAACGATCGGAAATGGTACTTGGTAGAAATATCAACTTTCGTATTTTTGAAGATA